AATGACTTAATAATCATAAAACACCACAAGCCGTAAGTGACCATAAACAAAAGAATTAATGTAAAGTGAAACAATACTAATGTGAGATGCTGCAGTATTCATGTAACTCTGACCCTGTTGGTGGTTGTGTGAGATGGCGGTGGTGTGTGATGATGATGGTGTGTGGTGGTGTCAGATGGTGTTGTCAGGTGGTGATGTGTGATGATGGTGGTATTTGCTACTTGTTTACAGCAGTGATCATCAACTAGAAACAATAGAGAAGTATCAATAATTATTATATAACTATAATTATTATATTTCCAATATTATACAGGAGTATTAACTAATACTGTAATAAGAACACTAACAGGGGCAGATCCAGGAATATCAAAGGGGGGTCCCAGAGGGTGTGGGTGAGAGAACTTGGTGAGCACAGCAAGCCCACCCACCTGGAGGGTTTGGGAGGCTCTGTAAGCCCAGCAGATTTTTTTTTAAATCTGACCAATATCATGGGCATTTTGAGGCCCTGTGCACTTGGTACTCGGAGTTATTCTGAGGTCAATAGGAATTACTTTTTACTATATAAAAATGCCTGAGTACAATATACTACATTAAAGAAAAGTACAGTAAAGCCTCGGATAACAACGATTCCTCCAAACACTTTTTGCATTTGAAACCCGAGATAATTTAGGACCCGATTCAGTTTACATCCAAAATATAATAAAAATAAAAAAATTTACATTTTCATATCAATAATAACTAAATCCCGATACAGTGATCCCTCGGTTAACAGGATTTCGGTTTACGAATTACCTTCCATAAGATTCTTAACTTCGGTTAACGAGCAATCCCTCGATTAACGAGTTTTTAACGAGCACCCCTCCACATGTTTTCGCTTGCATTTGGCAGTCCACCAGCTGTAGTATTAGTTCGGCAATACAGTAATCGGTTCTAGGGCTTAAATTCCTTACTATTTTAGTAAATATCAAGAAGTTTGTACTATTCAATAATTTTAAAAGTTTTATATTGATTTTTTAGTCATTTTAACAATTATTGAACATAATTGAAGTATAGGAAGCTAGTTTTTTGCGCACCAAACAGCCTGTCAACACACCATACAGGCGTCAGTCTCTGTCTTTTTTCAATGGAGGTAACATCTTGCTCGAGACTCTCTTCAACTTACGCTTTTTTCTGTGTTTCCAAGCAAATTATTGGTCAATTTGAAATTTATTTTACATATTGACAATATATAATGCAGTGCAGTGTTGCTTTAATGAAAATAATCTTGAATTACACCAAAAGAACTAAAATTTTATGGGTGAAATGGCACCATGGGGTGACTTCTCTTCCACCCCAATGCCTTCTCTTCTCCCTTCTCCTCCACCCCCATTTTAATTCCCATCATCATCATCATTCAGGAGCCTTCTACATACACACCTCAAAGTAAGTGTACTTTACTGCCTTTTTTGTTGATCTTAGGCAATTTTCAGTGACGTGGAACCAATTCCCCAAAAACCCATTGAAACAATGGTTTCGGTTAACGAGCAACCTTCTAGAACGAATTGTGCTCATTAACCGAGGGACCACTGTATTATAAAAAAAAAAAAATTCTGTAAAAAAATTGACGAGCGCCTTGCAGAAAAGAAGCTGCCTTGCTAATGAGTGGTAAACAACACTGAGCTTGGTGGGCCTTTTGTTTTCATGCATCTGGAATAGAGGAACTGGAGAAAAACTTTCTCAGGTTTCTTACAGCATTTTTGCATCCCTATTCAACATGAGCAAGAGAGCAAGTGATGGTAGTGTTGTTTCAAAAGCTAATAGAAAGTGAAGCTTAGCCAAGAAATTAGATGTGATAAAACGATATGATACACGACATGATAGAGGTCTGTGGATATATGGAGCAAGCAATACCATATTTTCTTAAGTGGATCCATTAACAGAACAAAGCCTTAAAATTTAAATAAATGCAAGTGACCTCTACATAAAAATGTATAATGAGAAAAGAAAGCAGCTGTGCAAGGTTCTTTCGAGAACTTTATTATTCGAAGGCCTAAACCATCATCTTCAGCTACACCATCATATTCAGCATCATAAGCAGCATCAACATCAACTTCAACCAGAGTTGAACCTGATGACTTCGTCATCTGAGTAAAAACTTGCACAATATTCATTGGCATGTTTTAGACTTTATCGCCATTGGTGAATGGAAATTTAGTTTTACATTCGTAAATATTATTCAAAACATATATATAAACAGTAAATAAGTGTTGCTTTCATATTCATATGTTGAGAAATGATGATACATGTACGCACTTACTGTTCATACATTGGCATTCCCAATCGTCTCGCCTTATTTCTTTACCATTAGTGGTCAGCTACTCCTAATGTTCCATTTATTAACATTAAATAGCATTACTTAAAACATACATACCGGTATTAAATTTTTTTTTAAAATTAAGTTCACTACAGCTACAACCAGGGTCTTCTTTTCTTCAGTTTCTTATGTACAACCATCGTCACTCACGAAAACAATGCCGTCTTGTCTCCTCGTGTGTGAGTTTTAATATTCTACGTATTATTAATAAATTGCATTGTGCATTTCACATATATAAAGATTAATTCAATCAAATACATATTCAGTAATAAACAATAATGAATCTTTTGTACATATTCTTAAGATAAATGATGCGGTACCCTTAAATGCGCACATATATGTTGGCGTTCCCAATCAATCTCTTTTTTTTTTTCTTTTTTTTTTGCCATTAGTGGTTAGCTACTTCGATTGTTCCATTTATTAACATTAAATAATGTTACTTAAAAGATATATATTAATTTTTTTACATTAAATTTACTACAGCTACAACCAGGGCCTTATTTTCTTCATTTTCTCGTGTAGAACTTTTGTCCCGGACTCCTGGCTGTAAACACAAATGAAAACAATGGCGTCCCATCTCCTCTTGTGTGACCATATTATTATTCATTAATATTGTATAAGGTGCATTCAGAAACATTATTTAAAGAATATAGTTTGCACTTTTCATTAATTGTATTGTTTTTTGGGGGGTGGAGGGGGGAAGAGGGTAAAAAGCCACACAAAAGATATTTAAAGGTCACACTTGGGAATGCATCTCATTATTATTGCTTTATTTTAATGATTCACGATTCACCTTGCACTGCAATATTGGAGGACACATTAACGTCGTTATTCGAGGCTTTACTGTATTGGAATTTTCCGATGAAAAGGGGGAGTCCGGACCCCCCTTCCCTGGATCTGTCCCTGCGACTGTAGATATATTTTATGTAACATGAGCAGTTCATAAACCAAAAACAACGTGATAATGTGGGTACTCGCTACTTTACTTTGTCATCTTTCAGCCAGTCCTAAACTAGAGATGTTCACAAGGAAAAAATTTACTTTGATTCTACATCAAAAACTCATTGATGTTTATACAACCTAAAAGACATAACTTGCATTTGTGTTGTTGTGTTGTGTTGTGTTGTGGACCAGCTCCAGGCCTCTACAGCCACGCAACTTGTTAAACGGAACTCGTCCCTGAAAGGTTAACTGACAAAAAAAGGATATATATAAGAATGTAACCCGGAATCGCGTATAGGGATTACTCCCCAAACTCCACTTTTTGAACACACAACTATGTTGTAGTAAAAATATTATCTTAACTTTATGATGGCATGCACATTAAGAGAAATATCAATAATATTAGGTTTTTTAACACATTAGTAGAAAAGATGGCTGGGCACAAGGGCGGTAGGCAGAGGGCAGATTATTGGCCCTCACCTGTATCACTTGTATCACACATTGCAGGGCCTCTTTGTCAAACCCCCAAAGTTCATATAAGTCCATATCCTCACTATAATTATCACTATCACTGACTTGGGCCGGCTGTAAAGTGGTCAAGACTGGGCGACCTCGCATTTTCGCGCCTCTTAGGATGGCGGGAGGTTTTCCAAAAATGGCGCGGCTTGCCAGCAATGGGGTTCACGACCGCGGAATAAAATGTTAGGGGCATAATGACAATGACTCCCTAACTGCCTTCACAATTAAGGTTTATCCATTAATAAAGTATAATAATAACACATTAATCTTGTCTACCTGGAAGTAAGATGTCGATAGGATGGTTTTAGTGACAATAAAAAGGGATAATACAATGACTCCCTAATGTATGATGGCAGTGTGGTGAGTTTGTGAGAGAAACTTGATTCTTGTGTCTGAATGCTTTCACTAGTCATATGAGACAGCCATCAGATCACAAGTTCAGAACTGTGATTCCATTAGGTGAGGAGCTGTTAGGCAGTACCAACACTGTCCTCACTGATGTGTCTTTGTTGCTGCTAAACAATACAAGTTCACTGGTAATGTCAGGTTGTGCCAGGGGTGCTGAGTGGTAGGCAATATCAAGGGCCTCTCACTTAGTATCCAAAAGCCAGAAAAGTAAGTTTCAACTCCTGCATTTTGTGCCTCAAAACTCTTGCTTGAAATGATATAGATCGTAAGCAAATCAACACCAGTTTCAATAGAGAGTGAACCATTTTATGAATTGCTGGACCTCTCTGTGTTACATTGGTGGTAAGGTGTTTCTGGAAACTGTCATGAAGTACTCGCAAGAACAGAGGTCTTAAAGAAATGCTTTGGGTTATTTGACAAACCCTTTTTTATTTTTCCTTTCATTTAAAAAAAAAAGAAGAAATGAAGCCATGCACTCAGTAAAAGAGGAAACCCAACACCTTCTGCAACATTCCACCTTATTTTGTTTCAGTGAAAAATGTGATATTTAAAAAAAAAAAAAAAAAAAAAATTCACCTATTCACAATATGATAAATTTCACCAAAAAAAATTGCACTCTTTGAAGGTCAATACAGTACTGCCAGACCCCTCATTTTGGAATGACTTACAAAACTAAAAGATGAAACCTTCAGGTTTTGTTGTGACAGTAAACCATTGACACCAAACTATCCAAACATGAGCCCAAGTACATGGAATGAAATAAGAAAAAATCTACAACTAATCTTTGATAGATGAAATCTTTAATATCTATTTTGCATTTGATAAAGTTCACAAAGATCAGTTTAAGACTGCTATTTACCAGAGGGACTGGTACAAAAATCCTCCAGTTTTATTCTATTCTTTTTGGATATACTGTATACAACTATGAAATTTTTAGGAGATTAGGACACTTCAACTAAATTGATGAGGATTCTGCATGTCAATTGGCTCTGTGTATTTGACAAGTGACGAACAAGATACTGACTGCTTACATTATTTTCTCCGGTACAGTAAAACCTTGAGATATTGGGGTTTGAAGACATTTTCTGGTCCCAATTTCAGCACTCACCACTTTAGTGAATGACCCTTTGGTTACATGTGGCTAACCACCTAAAGATGGGTTAATAAGGAGTATGCTATCATCATCCTCCAGCAGTTACATCTGGAGGATGGCTGTGAAGCTATACTGCTATTGATATTTACTTAATTTGCTAAAACCTGCTGTGTCCATATTCTATGTGATGCCTGAAACATGGCATTAAACTCGGGTGACAATGCAGAAAAATACAAGTTGTAAAGGGTGATCACTCGGCATTCCGTGGGGCCATACAGGTCATCTGTATGATCTTCTTCATGGCCTTAGGTATATCCTCTGAAGTTTTAGTTTTGGGTGTTCCACCCAGCAGCTCCTTACACTCTTGCTTGCCTTGTGTTATTTCACTGGATGCAATAATTAAGTCATAGGCGATACCATCACTCACAACGGAATCTTGCCTGTTGATACAAAATAGTTCATTAAAATGGTTAATCACAAATCACATTCTCATAAAAATGTTATACCTTAATAGATAAAATTGTCTCATATGTGTGACATAAAAGAAAATACATGTGTAAAGCATTGGAAATATTTAACATCTTCACATTCCAGCTTTCCCCAAAATTTAGGTATGGTGGTTGTAACAGCATCTTGAACTCCACATAAGAAAACATTTAATCACTGGTCAGAGGGATCAATAGAAGTTTATGTCTGTAAAGGAACATGTTCCAACCTGAAGGGAAAAGAAGATGGAATAAATTCTGAGAGGCAAAGTTGGACAGGACAGTGGTCACTGACAAAAATATAAGATTCCACTTTCTATGAGAAATCCAAGAGGAGATCTGGCAAGCAAATAGGAAGGTCTATGCATCTGGAGGTGCTGTAAGTTGATACAGTAGTACTGTACTGTATAAAGTTGCTGACCCATCACTGAAAAAGCATAAATCAAGTTCTCTGAATATTTCCATCAATTCTTCACCTCTTTAAGAGTTTGAGGAAGCCTCACCCCTTAACTGGTGGTGGCTATCAAAATCCTTCAAAATTAGGAAGAAAGTCGAAGCTGTTGTAAGAGAGAATCAAGTTTACCTCTTGGAAATGGTATAATTGGGAGCAGGTATCGAGAACACACTGTAAATAATCGATGTCAGGAAATATCAACTGCTACTGCTTGAAGATTTGGGTTTAATGACAGAAGGCAGTCAGGAACTGATAGATGAGAAAGGATGACACCACCACCATGGGTTCTACTCCTCCTAGGTAGATTTACACCTTAAAGTTTTGTTTGTTTTAACCACACAAGAAATTAAATTCACTGGTGAACTACAAGGCATAGATCTCCCCAGGGTGTTCTCACCACACCAGTTCCATTGTACAGTAATGTATTATTGGAAGATTATCTTAACTTTTTTGGTTTGGGATAAACTTTTGCTTCAGTTACATCTAAGTCATGGAATCTTCAGGAAAATTAGATATACTTAACATATCTCCTCTTCAAGTTTTCTGAGTTTCCGAGGACACCACACTGGAGGAGAAGGAAGAAAGATTATTAGGAGTAGGGCTTCCCCACCTTCGTCTAAATAAGAGTTTATCACAGGCAGTAAAAATGAATGTATCCTCAACAGGGGCCTCTAAGGTCACCAGGAGAGAGATACAGTATAACATAGAACATATGGTGTTTTCTACTGAACCTGGTTTGCAATGAAGGAATTCTGCTGATATTTTAAAGGACATTAAATGGGAGGAGAGAAACCAGTACACTAATCCCCTCCGCGGATTGCAAGGGAGATTGTGTATGTGCGTCTGACAACATTCCACTACTGGCTGCAAAGGGTCTCTACAGTGGCACAGGAGAGTTCCACTGCATCTTAGAGACACAGAATAAAACACCCATGCTCTTCATATTTCTTAATTTATAGTTTTATATTATATTTTCTTTATTTCTAAGTTACATCAGAGTACTGAAATTATTTTTATAGATTCATTATATGTAACAATGGCAACATGTATTACCATCTTGTATTATTTTTGCTTTTTTAGGCTTTCATTATTTTTCCTATACATTCTCTGCTAAAATCATCTTAACAATCAGTGGCAAAGATGGTAAAGTAACTTACAGCAGAGGTGGTTGTGTGGTGTGCATTTTAACAGAAGAAGGCCTAACCAGCTGAGTTGCCAGTTGTACTATTGACAAACTGCTCACTGCTTCCACACTTACGCTTACCTCCCACACAGAATACACATACATGCTCTTCATATGTCTAATTTTATAGTTTTATATTACATTTTATTTATTTCTAAGTCACATTAGATTACTGAAATGATTTTTCCACAACTTTTATAGTTTCATTACAGTATATGTAACAATGGCAACATGCATTTAAGGAAAGACGGTTTGACACAGTGCTGACCCACATTGTGCTCTCGGACGAGGTTAGAAGAAATAAACTGTCAAAGCATAAGATTCACAAGAGTCCCGGCCCGGGTATGGTACACCCCAGAGTGTTAAGAGAACTGTTAACGAGCTTGCAGACCCCTTAAGATCCTATTCTGCAAATGCCTGGAGGAGCAAAAGGTCCCCAATGTCTGGAAAATGGCTTATGCGAGTCCTATATTCAAGAAGGGTGATCATCACTCCACAAATAATTATAGACCAGTGAGCCTTAGCAGCATAGTATGCAAAATACTAGAGAGCATCGTAAGAGATGCCATGATGGAACATCTGCTACGAAACAATCTTGTAAAAGAATGCCAACACGGTTTTATGCTGGGAAGATCCTTCTTAATAAAATTACTCGAGGTGCTAGATGTTTGAAAATATTGACAATACTGTATATACCTAGATTTTGCCAAGGCTTTTGACAGCATGCCCCATGAAAGGCTGAGAATCAAACTGGAAAGGTACAGGATTTGGGGAAGTGTCCTCATGTAGATCGGAAACTTTCTGCATGACCACAAACAGTGTGTGGTGATAAATGGTACGAAATGATCATGTTAACCTGTGAAGCGGGGTTCCACAGGGCAATGTATTTGGCCCATTGTTGTTTGTCTGTTTCATTAATGACATGCCAGAAGCTATACACTCCTCCATACAAATGTTTGTGAACGATGCCAAGTTATTAAAGGAAATTAAGAACCAAAGAGACTGTGGAGAGTTGCAGAAAGACCTCTATAAGCTTCAAGAATGGTCAAGCAAATGGCTGCTAAGATTCAGCGTCACAAAGTGCAAAAGTTTGCACCTAGGTCGCACAAATAGTAAGGAGGCGTATCACATGTCCCAACAGGATGAAGAGACTGCATTAATCGGAGACCGAATGTGAAAAGGACCTAGGTGTGTATGTCGACAATGAACTTATGTTTCTGGGCCATTTTGAGAAGAAGGTGAATCAGGCAATGAGACTAGTAGGTCTTATAAGAAGGTCGTTTAAATATCTGGATAGTCCATCGCTCGTCACAATTTTCAAGAGTAAGGTGCTTCCCCGCCTGTAGTATTGTCACCTCATCTGGTCCCTGAGGGTTTTTTTCTACGGGGAATAGCCCACCAGGGCGCAGGTCATCGACACACAACGGGGCCTAGGGGGCGAAAAAATAAAGAGTAAAAAGAAAAAGAAAATGTATTAATCTACACCACGAAGATGTCAGAAAACCAGCTTTTTGAAGCGAGACAGATTGTATGAGTATGGAAACACAGAAGGCAGAGCATTCCACAGTTTGGCTGTGAGGAAAGAAGGATGTACTATAACAGGTTATTTTAGTGTGACCGACATCCACAGAGAAACAGAGGGCACCGCGGGCAAGACGAGTGTTACGAGCCCAAGGCCTTGCCAGTGGTACACAAGATGTCAAATTCACCGAACATTGCCCGTTAAAGTACCTGTAAAAAATAGAGAGTGAAGCAACATTGCAGCGAAGAGATTATCAACTAACAGTTGGACAGAAGAAGAACCACCCCCAGATATGAGAGCAGTACTCCAAGTTAGGACGAATAAACTTGAAGCAACTGCTCAGGAGTGAAGTAGCTACGGCATCTGTACAGCATTTCCAGCTTTTGGGAGGCAGCTTTAGCAATGTTGTGGATGTGTGGCTTCCATGACATATTAGAGGAAATGGTGAGGCCTAGCATAAAAAAAAAAAAAAAAAAAAAAAAAAAATATAGTTGTACCCCATTAACGCGGTCAATTGAACCCAGAGGGTCTCATGTTATGAAATCTGGTGAACAACAGAACATATGGGATTAATTCCAATAGAAACCGGCCCGACCCCCAAACTCCACTTTTTGAAGGCACATACCTATGTTGTAGTAAAAATAACATCTTAATTTTATGATGGTACATGCACACAATTAATACTTAAGAGAAATACAGTCGCCAAGTTAATGTCCATTCAAATAATGGACTCAACTCCCTCCCCCTCTCACACTACAGTACACAGCCAGCTAACAGATGGTCGGTCGGTCCCTCCCTCCCCCCCCCCCACCCCCCACCAACCGTCCCAAGGAGATGTGTGGGATAACCTCAAACTAAAGTTAGGAAAATATAATTGACATTGCTGGATTCCTTGTAAGACCAGGAATATTTTGAATATAAATGTCATATATTTTGGACAAAAGATAACATAGTTACCTAGAGAAAAATTTTTATCTAAAAATTGTAAGTTTAAAGCAAAATATATGATGTTTATATTCAAAATGATCACCAAATTATAAGAATTCCAGCAATGTAAATTATATTCTGACCGGGTAATTTGTATGAATTTTATGAGCTAAAACAAATATCTTCAGTTAATAAAAAAAAAATAATCTTCACGACACTATCTGTCAATCAAAGTACCCCACCTTGCCTCCCCCCCTCTTCCAACCGCGCGGTCAGTCCCAACCCTCCCCCCCACCCCCCACCAATCCTCCCTTCCAGAGTTTTTAACATTTAGTATTAAATAATACCTCAGATTAAAGTTAGGATAATATAATTGACATTGCTGGATTCCTTGTAAGACCAGGAATATTTTGAATATAAATGTCATATATTTTGGACAAAAGATACCATAGTTACCTAGAGAAAAATTTTTATCTAAAAATTGTAAGTTTAAAGCAAAATATATGATGTTTATATTCAAAATGATCACCAAATTATAAGAATTCCAGCAATGTAAATTATATTCTGACCGGGTAATTTGTATGAATTTTATGAGCTAAAACAAATATCTTCAGTTAATAAAAAAAAATAATAATTCTTCACACGGTAACAGATGGTCGGTTGGTCCCTCCCTCCCCCCCACCCCCCCACCAACCATCCCAAGGAGATGTGTGGGATAACCACTAAATTTTAATAAATAATACCTCAAACTAAAGTTAGAATAATATAATTGACATTGCTGGATTCCTTGTAAGACCAGGAATATTTTGAATATAAATGTCATATATTTTGGACAAAAGATACCATAGTTACCTAGAGAAATTTTTTTATCTAAAAATTGTAAGTTTAAAGCAAAATATATGATGTTTATATTCAAAATGATCACCAAATTATAAGAATTCCAGCAATGTAAATTATATTCTGGCCTGGTAATTTGTATGAATTTTATGAGCTAAAACAGGCGACTGGTGCCTCATCTACGGAACCTCAGTTACCCAGTGAGATTGGAGCGCCGGCAACTGCTTAGCTTATACTACAGACGGGCGATGGGCGACCAAATCGAAGTGTATAAACATCTCGGGGGGGCACTACTCGGTCAAATGCACATAACTGGAGCTGGCAGACGTCCGCCCTACAAGGGGCGTATTTATGAAGGCGGTTCTAGCCAAGGCCTTGGCTATAAATTACGTGGCCAATTCGCCTGCCCAGCTGCCTCGTTTATTGTTACTTGTAATGAAACTATAAAAAATTTTGAAAAAATCATTACAATACTGTTGGCTCTTCAATTGCCACCACATGGAGTTGAGTATTATAGGCAAGAATTTTCTTTTCGTTCTGTTTTTATACTAATTTGTTCACTTACCTGAACATAATGTACAGTCATTCCTTCCTTGTTAATTTTTTCCTAATAACCACTATTAACAGAGTTGGGAGGAGCTGTACAGACATCACATCACTAACAACTTAAATGTAAAATATCTATAAAACTGAAAAGTTACATTGCACAATTATACTATGTAAACTAGTAACACTACACAACACTACATAGTAAACTTGTAACACAACTACCTTGTAAACTAGTTACACTACAACACTTAAAACATTAATATTTACTTGTATTCTGGGTGTGATGTGACAAAGTTCCTCATCCAGGCAGCTGTGGTCTTGGCAGTACCAGCTGCTCTGGCACTAATGAAGTTTAAGTACTGACCAATGGTGCATGCTGTGTCAGCGTCCATGTCCAGTGCTCCTAGATACTGGCGCACCAAAGGGATTAATCCCACAAACTCTTCTCCCTGAATGAAAAAAATAAATAAAATCTGATGAGCTGAAGAATAACAATGTACTGTAGTTGAAAGATCTAGGGGAATGAGACATGGTGGGGTCATGTGTAGAGGCGATAGGAGGCAGAGTCGTCGTTGAAGAGAAGGAACAGGCATAGAGGGTTGTCTTAGAGAATGCAGCTCAGGTGTGTGGATAAGAACAATTGTAAAGGAAAAACAAGACTTTAAAGGTAATAATTACCTTTGGAATATTCTCATTATCCTCCATATGATCCCCCAACAACTTGGACCCTCTGATGGATTTCCTTGATATCGTTGATCAAAACAGAGGAAATACACTAAATCCTTCCTTATGGAGTAAATTTTATGGGCACGGTAGAAAATCCCAGCTTTGACCACCAAACTGCCTGAAAGGTATCATATATGGTCGAATTATCAAAACTACGGTAGGTGGAATCCCTTCCAATAGTAAACGTGAATTATGATCTGTGTATCAAGTGTTTGACTAACACTGTGGGAGACATGTCATTGCCACATGTTGATAGCATAATGGAACTCATGGAATACACAAGCAAGGTTGTACTTCTCGTAATAATAATGAACAATTTATTGTATTAGGGTGTTTGATGCGCCTCTTTTTAATTAAGCACAAGTGAAGACATGGCTGCCACTTAATATCATCCACTAATAAACCTAAATATCATAAAAGGTTTAATATTTCAAATCATCTTCCTGAAAACAGCAGCAAGAATGCTAATAGGTAAAAAATAAGAGCTGTGTTGAACTGACCAGTCAGGTGGTCAGGGGTGAGTGACCATTACTCACTCCTTCAGTCTTTTTGCCCTTCAAAAGCAATGCCCACACAATATAGAAATCATTTACTTTGCAAGTGGGGTATTTGGTTTGACTAGAAAGATAGCTACAGTATGTACTTCTGCTATTGTATGAGGAAGCATAATATGATGGGTTTGTCATGTGAGTCAATAAGGCTACATCATGGGCTTTGCAGGTCTGTATTTTGTACTCCATTTTATTGGTGTTGCTTCATTACTTCCAGTGTTTATATGTTAATGCCCAGGACTCCCTACCAATGAAACTGGGCAAATAAATATTGCCATCTACAGTACAGTACTTTGATGTACAAAGATGTAATCAGTCACAGCAAGAACCATGAACCAAGGTATGTCTTATCACCAGGAGAAGGCCACTAAAATACAGTACAGGTTGTACCTCTCAAGTCCGGCAACCTCGGGACCTGACCGGTGCCGGACCATGGAAATTCACCCTTTTCCTGGATAGATAGTGACTTGTGCTTACGCTTGGAAGCACTAGCACCACTTTCTCTGCTTCATGGTCTCTTTGAAGACATATTGAAGGGTTAAATGTCGTACAGTAGCTTCTCAAATTTCGCGAGTTTTTAATTCAACGTTTTCTATTTAAACACAAAAAAACCACATTTAACAATTTTGACGGCGGAAACTCAAATTTCGACGGGTTTGAACGGCCCACCAACGTTCAGACGACGTGCACAATCGTGTAAACAGCGTTATTTCTCTTATGTACAAAAGATTCATTATTGTTTATTACTGAGTCTTTTTGATTGAATTACTGTTTGTGTGTGCAAAATGAGCAATACAATTCATTAACAATACGTAGAATATAAAAACACGAGGAAATGAGACAGCATTGTTTTCGTTGATTACAAAACCAGTGACTGACTGGTTCTACATATAAAACTGAAGAAAATAAGACCCTGGTTGTAGCTGTAGTAAAATTAATATGGTTGTTTTAAGTAATGATATTTAATGTTAATAAATGGAACAATAGAAGTAGCTAACGATAATGGTAAAGAAAAAAAAGAGTGATCGCGTAGGTAAGTGCGCACACGTGAAAACATATCGTCATTACTTTACATAAGAATATGAAAGCAACACTTATTTACTGTTCAAATATATTTTAATTAATGTTTCTAAATTTGTTTTTATTGAATTAATGTTTGTGTGTGCAAAATTAACAATACAATTTATTAATAATACGTGGAATATTAAAACACTCGAGGAGACGAGACGGCTGCCGGCATTGTTTTTGTTAAAGCTTACAAAACCAGTGACTGATTGGTTCTACATATAAAACTGAAGAAAATAAGACCCTGATTGTAGCTGTAGTAAAATTAATGTAAAAAAATTAATATGGTTGTTTGAAGTACCTGTAATGTTATTTAATGTTAATAAATGGAACAATATAAGTAGCTAACCATTAATGGTAAAAAAAAAAGCGAGACTGCGCGTATGTAAGTGCGCACATGTGAAAACATATCGTCATTACTCTACATAAGAATATGAAAGCAACACTTATTTACTGCTTATATATATTGAAGGGTTAAATGTTGTACTCTGTATAGACAAGCAGAGAGAGAGAGCAGCCGAACTGCCGGATGTAAACAAACCTTAATTTCCCGCGGCTTTATTTTTGTTTTTTTACGGGGATTAGCCCACCCGGGCATAGGTCACTGACCCACATTGGGGCCTGAGGGGCAAAAATGTAATAATCCTGTAATAATAATAATAATTCAGATAAGTTAAAAAAAAAAAAAGTGCCCATCTACCTATTGGACAAACTAAAATCGTTCCGGACCACGGGAGTTTCCGGACCACAGAATGCCAGACTAGAGAGGTACAACCTGTATGACATATGGTGCAAAGTACAGGGGGGTCCCCCAAGTTCGCTGATTTTTACTTCGCAGTTCTTGGTTATTTGCAGAAGACACCCTGGATGTACCCAAAAATGTCTGTGGGTGGTTTTAAAGTTGCTGTCATTTTCGCGGCTGGGAGAGGGAGCAATTCATTCTAGAGACAGTAATTTGCTTTACCTGTATTGTAAATGTGTGTGTGTGTGTGTGTAGACACACACACAAACCACAGACAAATAAATAATAATTGGAAAATCCTCTCACAAATAATCAAACAAATTTATTACAAATGTGACAGTATGCCCTCAAGTCCGTGCTCTATTAATAAAGTACTGTAAAAGAACACTGACTTGAGGGTAGACTAACATTTTTAATAAATTTGTTTCTGATTATTTGTGAGAGTATTCTCTCATTATTTATTTGTGTGTGTGTGTGTGTGTCTACACATACACATATACAATACTACAGGTAAAATAAATTATTGTCCTTAGGGCAAACACAAAGGGAATATACATTTCTTTGTAAACAAGTGAAAATGTAACCCCCTCCCGGGCCAGCAAATGTTATTCGCGGACATTTTGAGAACCAAACCCCCGCGAATTTGGGGGGGGGGGCCTGTATACTATTTCTATCTTTAAATCACACCTCGAGATACTGAGAAAGCTTTACCAATTTTACCTTTCCATTGATAATTTCACTGACGGTCATCTGACAAGCATCATCGCCCTTGTCGCAGTCACGAGAGAAAATTTCCTGCCTGAACCACAACTTTTGTTCCAGCACAGCATTTCGCTTCTGGCAATTCGCCATGTTTTCATCAACCTGTGGAAGAACTTTAAATATACTTCACTATATATGGAAATTTCATGAAGTAGAAATACCTTACATTTTATTTACAGTAACTATGTGCAGTATCAATAAATTTAACATGCCATACTATAAATCTTCTAATAGTATTTTTCTTGATATACCATAAATGCTCTAATAATATATCGGCACTATACAGTTACTGTACTGAGCATAGACGTAATACCGTAACAGACTTGAATCATAAGTTTCTACAAGTTAGTAAATCATATGAAAACTTTACCTTTGAGATAGGAATTAACATGTTAAGTTTAAATGTAAGCAGTGCCCGAGTGAGCAGCACAATAAACACTCCAAAGGCAGCATTTTCAAAGTCTGTTAACTGAACTTCACAGGGTCGGAACTCAACTCTCCAGCCAATGTTACTGTTAACTGGTGGAAGTTTGAACCGCATTGTTTGCCAGTTGGTGCTCTGAATATTCTGCAAAAACAAAGAGAGTTTTCCATTGTATCACATTTGTACATTGATATAATAGACATAAAGCTTGAGATAGAAAAAGAAGATGGACACAAAATTGTCTTTGACACTTACAGTAGGCTAGATGTTACAGTCGAGGTATATGTATTGAATATAGTAAGGGTTTCTCATAAAATATTCAGATCATCATCATGAATGTTTTATGGTCGTTTCCATGCTTGTATGGGTTACCCAATAATTTTGATATTTTAAACATAATTTCTGCTTTTTCTTTCACATAACTGATTTCACTTCCAAAACCAAAATGAATAATTTCTGTTTGTGGACCCTATTACCTGCACCGAAGGTCAGTGGAAAAAGTGTGATAAGACAGATGATGTACAGTCAGCCAAGTGGAGCTTGTAACAAAATATTCTGGGACAAAATGTTCTGGGGTATGGAGACAAACATATTTTTACTTTTACTTTCATCCTCCTTGCCACTGATCGGCTTGTTAGTCACTTGGGCGGTCAGTCACATCTCTGTTACACACTGTTGGCAAGTACTGGGCATGCACTGGCTACTGTATGCATCTGAACCTGCTCCAGTATTGGTCAAGTATGGTCTTGAAAGAGCTCACACTTGGTAACGTCACAACACTCTTTGGCAGGTTGTTCCAAGTGTACACATTTCTCACTCCGAAAAAGTTTGCCCTCACAGTTTTCTGGACTTTGTGGCTTCTTCAACCTTGAGCTGTGACCATTTGTGGGGCGGGCGTCCGCCAGCTCCAGGTATGGACACTCAACTGAGTAGTGCCCTCCGAGATGTTTATACACCTCAATTAGGTCACTCCTTGCCCGTCTGTAGTATAAGCTTGGCAGTTGCAGGTGATCTAATCTCTCTGGATAACTGAGGTGCCAAAGTACAGACACCAATCTGGTGGCCCTCCTTTATGCATTTTCAGTCAACTGACAGAGGGGGTTCCAGATGTCTCCATAAACCAGAACATTTTGTCGCAAGTTCCACCTCGCTGACTCTACATGTGTGAGGTGAAGGGTGATGTTCAAAGTTGTATTTGTAATATGTGTGAAATATTCCATTGAATAATTTTATCATTTTTAATAATACAGTACTGTATATGTCTAAGAAAAAATCATATACATCAGTAGTAATAAACATCTCGACCAACTATAACTATAATCGTCCTACCTCAAAGTGATCCATCTCCCTGGCATCATCCTGATGAATTCTCTCTGAGAAGAGGGATATGGAGTCCCTGATGAAGAGGTGAGAGATGTGCTGAGCCATGTACTCATCAACCTTGCTGCCTACTAGCTTCTGCTGGATATCTTTATCGTATACCAGCGGAATATCATTATACCTGTTGAAGGGGAAATTATGATTAACAAAATGCAGTAGTGTACAGCACATGTTGATATACAGCAATCAAACACTCACCAGACAAAATGTTTTTAATTCATACAGGTACAGTAGTTAGCATGTCACCAAGCCAAGTTATATACTGTACAGTACAGTATTCTGCCTTTTATAACACTTTCTTTGTCAAACTATTAACTTAAGACATCAAGTATATGCATAAAAATGAAGAAAGTGGAACTAAGACGCATGTGTTACACCCTTTTTAATCAAGCAGTGGTTTTCAAGAACGTAACCCCCAGCGTAAAACGAGGGGATTCCCATTATAAAAGCCAAGATAAATTATATATATATATATATATATATATATATATATATATATATATATATATATATATATATATATATATATATATATATATATATATATATATATATATATATATATATATATATATAAATTTTTTTTATCCCAGCTTTTACAATGGGAATCTACTGGAAAATGTGATCCGATTAACTAAAAGTTAATTTACAAAAGGTTTTCAGGAATGGATCCCTTTCATAAATCAGGGAATACCTGGATTGATTTCATTGGAATAAATTTATTTGAGAATCCCTCATGTGGTTTTATGACATTCTAATTGAAAAAGTGTCAATTATTTTAATATAAACTGTACTACACTATTATATCACCTTCCCTTCACCTGCACTGTAAAGATAACTCATATTGCCAATCTCACATACAGTATTTACACACAAATAATAAATTTCATCCCTAATAAATAAGAAATATATAATTTCACTCTAAATATACAAATGAAATTAATACAGTTCAGCACAGTGTGCCCTTCACTGATTAAACTGAAGCAGCACACATCTCTCCTCCAGTCACTCACCTGGCACCACATTCGGAGAGGTAACAGTCCACTGAATCATAGCGAGATTTGGGTATAACAAGTCTGTTGTTTCTCAGTGGCTCCAGACCTCGTTCTTCCCGGGTACGACAATCCACTGAGGCGGCTATCACATTCCATCTACAGTCAACGTCTGTCAGGTACCCACGATAAATTGGCGAGGCAGCAGTGAGCGCAAGCTGAGGATGATAACACTACGCATGTAACACTAGCAAGCAGCATGTACTCAACTTGCCACGAGAAAGAGTAATAAAGTTAACATACCTAAAATTTATAAGAATAATGTATCTTGCACAAATTTATCATTCACGAATATAGTACAGTACTGTACTCTATACCTTTCATCAAATCATTGTTTTTTTTCTCTCAACATTTTTTTTTCTAAATTTTCTCACATGTCTCAGAGGCTGACTGTATAATGCTTATCAAAGGTATACTGTATTTGTAAATGGTGAATTCGTGCAAGGCACAAGAATTACCGTACAGTGTTATGTACAGGTCGGCTTAGACACGAGGTGATAAACACAGCGTAAGGGGCGTACGTTTCAGGAAGTGCCAATGAATTATAAAAAAAGATTCGGGCCAGATCACTCTAGTCAGTCCAGACATAAACACTGTTTAAAAAAAATGGACTGGATTACTATACTCCTTGACCCAATGTACTGTAGATGATGACAGTCCCCTTGAACAGACACACCAGCTGAGTCCCAGTTAGGCTGTCAGCAATGTCATACAACCTTTACACCACACTGCAAATACAGATGAAAGCCTCGCATAAACCTTTGGAAACAAAACTGTGTAGACCAACCTGAGACTTCACTAGTACTGAAAGCAAAGAAAAAAGCATTTACCTCCATTTGCCAACAGGGGTGAGGGAGACCCAGGCACTTGGGAGCCATCCAGACAGTGAAGTCTAAACTAGGACTGAAGAGGCTTGATGCCTGACAAGTCCACTATGGCTGAGGCAGATAATGTTCAAGTTGTGTCTACTGATATGGCCCTCAGGACTCATTGTTTCCTGCTTTAAATGGTAAACTGTTCCTTTTAAAGACCCCTTTTGGGACTTGGCTGTGATGAGGAAGCATAACTAATTCATGAATTAGTCATATTCTATGATGTCCAAGGGTTACACCAGGTTTACAACTCAAGACTCACAGCTGTAATTCACGTCACCTGGTGAAAGGCATTAACCATAAAACGAGATCTTGCCGGATCAATCTTTTATAATCTCACATCGGTCCAAAGAGACTTGTGTATCTGAAGCCAGCTAGAAGAGAGGAAGTGGCATAATAAAGCTCCAATTACTAGTGTGCCATGCATCCCAAACAGGGAGACAACTAGATAGCTACAGTAAAGTATGACATACTAACCTTACACATTCCCCAGCACCACACAGCTCGTCTGCATTATACCCTGTCAGAGGAATAACAAACAAAGGTCATATACGATGACAAGGTTCCCTTAAACAAGAATGGACATCAGGAACATTTTCTCATGGAGGTTATCACTGTTGTGATTCCCTGAAAATATGAACCTATTGAATACAACCTGGTTGAGCACACCAGATACCTCCCCAGACACCCAGACTTTACAAGCACCAGAGCTGTGATTTATGATACAAATTTAGAGCTTACTACAAGGCTACTTAAAAACACTAATAAAAAACCTAAACTGCTTACACTTACACAATGGACAGAGGAAACCATCCTCTTAATTTACAGAATGTTTCCAATTTGCAGCTCAGAAGATATAATTCATGGCCAAATCTTTGACTCAAATTTGTGTAAGAAAGACTTACAAGACCACTTTAAGGTTTGTCAACTGAAAGAAGAATCAACACCATTACCAGATCATCCCTCAACAATAAGGATCAACACCTCTTGACCCTAAAACTAAAAACAAATAGATTTCTACAATAGCCATTTTTGTCTGACTTAGATTAAAGTTCCCAAAAGTCACTGAGAATGTAAGAACAAAGTTAAGAGTATCTGAAAACAAGGAATGATTTCAACAACTATTTTGAAAAGGAGGAGTAGTAGGATGAAATCTAAAATACGGTGGGAAAAAAAAAGAAAGACAAACCTTTTCTCGGAGGTCCATGTGAAGCCCACACAACAGCTGCTAACACTGATAACTCAGTCTATAACAATTAAAATTATCACCTGAGAAGCCAAAATGATGCCAATTCAATACAGTAGGGTCGGGATATATCGCGACTTTATATAATGTTTTTTTATATCGCATTTACCAAAATTATAAAAATTTTCCTTTATATAGCAATATTTTTTTTATTTCGTGAGGGAAATCGGGCAGGAAATAATACAAATGTACCGCCACGGTAAACAAATGCGTTTATTTGCTCACCAGAGGCGCCACCGTGGCTGCTCACTCACTCATTCACGCTCGCCCGCTCAGTCTTTCTGGGTGAGTGATGAAAAAGCAGCCAATTCTGCTGCAGATTACGACTTGGTGAGTATAAGTGGGTTACTAGTGACGTGAAAAGTGAAGTGAAGATATGGAAGGTTTAATGGAAATGATTTAATACTGTAACTAATATTTTTGGTTTGTTCGTTTATGATTGTTAAGTGAGGGTGGCAGTGTGTCGTCTGTTGTTCTCGGGATGGCGCTTCAGCTGTCGAGTCTGTTGCAGATTCCAATTTCTAAAGCGAGTGTAAATGGGTTGCTAGTGTCGTGAAAAATGAAGTGAAGATAATGGAAAGCTTAATGGAAAAGATTTAATACTGTAACTAATATTTTTGGTGTTCATTTATGTAGGTGTGGTATTGTCAAGTGAGGGTGGCAGTGTGGCGTCTGCTACTGAGTCTGGTGTTCCTTGATATTGAAATAGCCAGTTGTTCCCGAGTCTAGTGTTCACTGGTGCTTTAGTTAGTAAGAAAATGAACTCGTTAAGTCAAGTTTAGTCACGTTTTTTGGGCCTCCAGAGCCTAACCCTATTTTCCCCATCGATTACATGTAATTATATATTGCGATTTAGTATACCTGTACAGCGAACATCGTTGGACCCTATCTCGCGATATATCCCGACCCTACTGTACTCTAAAATAATATATATATTTTTTTTGGTGTGTAGCTAAAATCATAAACATCTGTTAAAATATTTGAAAAAACCTGTGAAGATGATTACCCACCACATGATACTTAGTCAAAATTCGAAAAGATCTTGATAGTAGAAGGAATCTGTCCGTAAGTCATAAAGGATTTTCTACAAAAACATATCCAAGATCCTTGTAAGTTCTAAAAAGTTTATCATTTGAGGTAAAGTTGGAGAATCATTTTGACCAGTCAAAAAAATAAATATAATACATAAAAAAACTTCCACACCAGTCAACATAAATGGGGAATTAATTCATATGAAATGAGATCACTGATTAAAGCAAAGGTGAGTAACAATCAGTAAATAACATATTACAAGCCACACAAACAGTGAAGGAACTTAAAAATTTGTCACGCTATACCATGTGTGTGTGACTGAGGACACATGTCCTAGGCCCCATCTACTTTAGGACGCCCCGATCACTATTGTAAAGCAACTCAGAATTTATGTCAGATATTTAAAGACATTTTTCAGTCTTCAACTTTACCTTTATCTTCATGAAAAAAAGAAGGTAAAAGGACACAAAACTAGAACCTCTTCTAAGTACTGTATAATAATCTTTGACACTTTTCCACCTGACTTAAGGACTGACCAAAGAACACTAGAATGGATGCCAATTTCAGTTTTCCCTGAAACTGTTACTAATTTTCCAGAAACATTAGAACTGATAAATCTTTTGCATACAGTACAGCACTTTATCATGATTAACTTCCTTCCAAGATTTGTTCACCCCAACATGCATGATCCTAATATCTTGGTAAATATTTTTTAGTCAAGATCAATCCACTAGGAAACATTTTGAACTTGTGAAAACTGTTTCCCACACTAAAAGTTTGGAATTTTTTAAACTGCCTTCAAATAAGAGTTTGCCAGCAGGCACCCTTCAGGAGTGTAGTTTGTTGACCAAATGTGTCTCGTCACATGCTGAATAATATTCCTCTTCAACTTGACATTTTGGATAAGGTTGTTCAGCCATTTAAGGTCAACAGTCAATGGTTTGGAAGAAAATGCCAAAATTATATGCTGACATCCTATGCTTAATGTTCATTATTCAATAGGTTAAATTTTATAATTTAGGATGGGAAGAGAATCAGTTTCTTCTGTGTCAGTCACAGTTTACATTTAAAATGATCAAAAAATTATTTCACAGATTTGTTGCTAAAGGTGCTCAGAAATTACTCTAAGTTTTTTGCCTCAATTAGTAAAATCTGCAACACCACTTCTCGACCAAGTGGAAACTCAGTATGTTTGATTAACTTAATTTTTCTATTTTTATTTATCATGCTCAACACTTGTCAGCTCACTAGCTGGTCGGGTGGTCAGTCTGTTCTCTGTTACACACTGTTGGCAAGTACTGGGCATGTACGGGTTCCTGAATGTACCTAAACACACTGGCTCTGGTCTTAAATGAGCTGACACTCGGTACCATCACAACACTCTCTAGCCGGTTATTCCATGCATTCTTCACATTTCTCCCTCCAAAGGAGTTAACTCTGACAGTTTTCTGTAAAGGTCTCTGACATAACATACAGCATATAAGAAAAGTATGACTGTTGACACAATATACTGTACATTATTAAATGGGAGAAGCCATGCCTGTTGACATATAATATATACAAATCTTGGTAGAGCCAATGGATGTGACATAACCCTCAAAGTACTGTACTATGTGTAGTCCTCACCATAACAGGACAGAGGGGTGTTAGATGATCGTAGAGGACCCGGGCCTCATTCACATTGCATGCTTGGAAGGTCATTTGCAAGCACGAACATCCCATACCGAAACCCATCGCATCCATATACACTTGGTCCTCCTTCGCAGCAGCTGCAGAACTGCCATCATCGCCATATTGAGACAAATCTTCTACAAATGGTCTAGGTGTTTTAAGGTCTACATATACTGAAAAGTAAATACATATAAACTTTATCGGAGATAATTTATATATATACAGTATAGTAAAATTTGCATGTAAATCTGAACAAGTGCATTTGGAAAATGAGAGAAATGCATTATTAAAGAGAATACACACACATGCTACAAAAGCAGACATATCACCCAGTACACCTGGACCCTGCTGAGGTATCCAGTGATAAGAGGGTTACCTTTGTGGCCAGGGAAGATAGTCAGTAACTCACAATGTTCTCTGCACTCCAAACAGCCCTGAACTACAAACAAGGTTCTTACCAACAATCCTTCAGTCCTGCCAATGACTTCAAGCAAACAAGATTTGGGGTGACTAGATGACATCATAGAAATTATTCAGGCATTGTAATTACTTAAGCCAAAGCTTAATGTATGTGGTTGAAGAATATGTAATGTACTGCACTGTACTGTACTCACTAGGGACATTGATGGCTACTTTTTCTCCACGTCTCTCACGGATGTTGCGTGTGAGTGTCTTAAATCTTGGGTGACTCTGTGTGATGGCTTCCTCTGGGAAGAACAGGGACCGACTAGCTCCAGAGTTGGGGTCAGGACGGGATGGTGGGTACGTAAAATCTGGACAGCCCAACCTGAAGAGTGATGTCAACTCTTTAACGCTTTCAAATCTACATTTAAAGCTTCTACACACATCCTTATAAACCCTCATTGTTATATTTGGTTTTTCTCTCACACCAGCCAACCAAACCTAGGAGGCAGTGGGAAGCTGGAGACTTAACTCTCTTTATCACCTACTGCAGCCAGCTTTTCAAGATGTGACCATTGGCTGAAATCTAAAAAATAGGCAGGCAAGGGTTATATTGCTTGTAAATGCCAAAATACAAGAAACAAGATCCCTAAATATTGTACAATAAAAGCAAGGGGACATCACTGTCAAGGGATTAACAACTGCAATTGAGTAAAACCTTGAAACAGTATCACAGCAACTCCCACATAGTGAAATGCTGTATCATAAAAAGTGTTCTCAACCTAAATATGAGTTTAACTGTACCTGAAAATAGGTAACTCACCTGGGAAAATTTGTGAGGGAGAGTACCACCTCATCTGGCAACAACAAACTCTGCACTTCACTACGGCGGAAGCTCATGTTGTGCTCCACGATGTTGAAGTGCTGGACAAGGGAGCCATAGGGCTGGCCAGGGGTCCCTTCCACCATGTACTCGGCATACTCTGGTCGCCATAGTGACCGCACCTCCCTAACAAAGTACATCAAATACTTAATCATATGCACAAGACAATCTAAGAGATGAGAATATTTTTAAAATATTTAAAAGGTTACTGGTGATACACCAAAAAAAAAGAAAGACACCAACCACTATACAGTACTGAGAAGTGAAGTCACATTTTCTAGCTGAAACAAATACAAGACCTACAAGAAATGCACCAACACCACTGAGCACCTTCAGACAGGGCCTCCAATCAACCAGAAAGCAAGCAATGCTTTGCAGCAGTAGCAATCTTTGTACTCATAAGCAGAACCCTTAATACTTATATGGTTGGCTTCTTTGGCCTCCCCACACTTACCCTCCCCCACCCCACCCCCCCCCCCGGGTTCACTCAAGTCTGATCTATCTTTTCTCTCCAAAGCTCCAAGAATCGTGAATATATCCCCAGAAGACCCCAACGTTTTCCCCAATGGCCATTGCTACTTACTTAGGGTTGGTTTCCTCAGCCTCCCTCAACACCTCGAGGAGCTCAGAGCCTCGTAAGCTAAGTCGTGCCTTCCTGTTCTTGTGGTCCAACTTGATAATCATGTACTCTATCTGCAACACAAGACAGACATGTACTTTATCTGCAACACAAGATCATCATGTACTCTACCTGCAACACAAGATCATTGTGTATGCTACCCACAACACAAGTCATATACGGGAGCTAAGTCTACCTTCACCTCACCTAAACTTAGTTATGAGTTGGTCCTGAGAAGTGTGTCCCCTGCATTTATTTATTCTACAATCCATCGATGTGAATGGATTTAGTATATGATCCATGTTACAATAGTGTTTGGTGTTGTGGCACAGCTCCATAGTAACATAACACTGCACCTTGGTGATATGTTTGGTGTTGTGGTGCAGCTCATAGTAACATAACACTGTACCTTGGTGATATGTTTGGTGTTGTGGTGCAGCTCATAGTAACATAACACTGTACCGTGGTGATATGTTTGGTGTTGTGGTGCAGCTCCAAAGTAACATAACACTGTACCGTGGTGATATGTTTGGTGTTGTGGTGCAGCTCTCTAGTAACATAACACTGTACCTTGGTGATATGTTTGGTGTTGTGGTGCAGCCCCAAAGTAACATAACACTGTACCTTGGTGATGTTTGGTGTTTTTTTTTATCCTCTTCGCCACTGATCGGCTTGTTAGCCGCTTGGGCGATCGGTCACGTCTCTTTTCCTTTATATTCTTCACCAAAAGGTCGGCTCGCTAGCCGCCCGGGCGATCGGTCACGTCTCTGTCACGCACTGTTGGCAAATACTGGGCATGTACCGGCTCCTGAATGTACCTGAACCCGCTCCAGTGTTGGTCAAGTCTTCTCTTGAAAGAGCTCACACTCGGTGCCGTCACAACACTCTCTGGTAGATTGTTCCAAGAGTTTACAACCCTCACTCCGAAAAAGTTTGCCCTCACGGTTTTCCGGACTTGCGGCTTCTTCAATCTTGAGCTGTGACCCCTTGTGGGGCGAGCGTCCGCCAGCTCCAAGTAAGGACACTCAACTGAGTAGTGCCCCCTGAGATGCTTATAAACCTCAACTAGGTCCCCCCTTGCCCGTCTGTAGTATAAGCTAGGCAAGTTCAGGCGCTCCAATCTCTCAGGGTAGCTGAGATGCCGAAGTGCAGGCACCAGTTTGGTGGCCCTCCTTTGAACATTTTCAACCAACTGACAGTCCCTAGCATATCTCGGGGACCAGATGGGGTGACAGTACTCCAGATGGGGAAGCACTTCACTCCTGAAGATCGTCACGAGGGACGGACCGTCTAGATATCTGAACGACCTTCTTATAAGACCCAATAATTTATTTGCCTGATTTACCTTCTTCTCACAATGGCCCGAGAACTTCAGCTCATTGTCAACATACACACCTAGGTCCTTCTCACACACAGTCTCAACTAGTACATTTTCTTCATCCCGTTGGGACATATGGTACGCCTCCTTACCGTTGGTACGCCCCAGGTGCATCCTCTTACACTTCGTGACATTGAATCTCAGCAGCCATTCCTTCGACCATTCCTGGAGCCCACAGAGGTCCTTCTGCAGCTCTTCACAGTCCGCTTGGTTCTTAATTTCCCGAAATAACTTGGCGTCATCGGCAAACATTTGTATGGAGGAGTGTACAACGTCAGGCATATCATTTATGAAACAAACAAACAACAGCGGGCCCAATACACTACCCTGTGGTACCCCACTTGTTACAGGTACAGATGACGATTTCGTGCCATTAATCACCACACATTGCTTGCGGTCATGTAGAAAGTCTTCTATCCACGCTAGGACATTTCCCCGAATTCCGTACCCTTCCAGTTTGATTTTCAGCCTTTCGTGGGGTACACTGTCGAAAGCCTTGGCAAAATCTAGGTAAATATTTTCGATATTACCACCCCGTTCTAGAATATGGGTCCAAATATCCAATACCTTGAGCAATTGTGTCAAGCAAGAGCGCCCCGGCATAAAACCGTGTTGGCAATCTTTTACAAGGTTGTTTCGTAGTAGATGTTCCATCGCTGCATCTCTGATAATACTCTCAAGTACAGCTCATAACACTGTACCTTGGTGATATGTTTGGTGTTGTGGTGCAGCTCCATAGTACTAACATAATACCTTGGTGATATATACTGTATGGTGTTGTGGTGCAACTGAGAGACACACTTGACCACATTATACTACGTATAGCTAAACTATATGTATGAATTAATATTGTATATTCCCCTCTAAGTGACGCACAATCATTATAATCTTATCTTCTGAACCTATAAGAACATTTACCAGTGTAATAATCACTTGCTCTTCATAAACACATCTCGGCAATTTTAACAAAGATAATTTTTTCTTTCCCTAGAATGAGTGTCTGATCTTCAAATTGTGATGTGAAGCAGAACAAAGTTATATGAAACTGATATTAAAGCTGTTTTGACATTGTGGATGTCAGCACTGAGAGCTCCAACACCTGCAGGAAGAATGCCTTAGTAAGGTTAGTGGAATATTGATCTGTAGGAGACAAAAATGTTATTCCCCAAGCCGCCTAAAGCAACACCTATGGACCATGATTTCAGATTTTTTCCAGATTTGCCCCGCAAGGGGGCTAGTTTATTGAACACCCCCTTACATCCTGTGCAATTATATTCCCTTTTCCTTGACAAGTCAGTGGAAGAACACAGGTGACGACAACCCATACAGGGCCTGACTCCCCAAGTTACTACCCGCCCACACACGTCACACTATACAACATATTTTAACAGCTTAGTCCGGTATGATGTAAGAGAGGGAGGGGCGGCGACAGGTTTGTGGCACCACTGCAGACATCAGCTGGATACATTATACTGTATACATCAGCAACACTGCCCATCTCAGACCACACATTCCAATACGACTGTAAAATATCCCTCCCAGCTTGAGTTAGTGCTATATCGACCCACATGAGATCTTTACTCAGAGGTCGAGTTGCTTCAGTCAAGGTATGCTTCTCGGTGTGAAAATTTAAGCCATGTTTGGTATGTTTAAACGGGTGCTTGTGAAGGGCTAACGAGCCGATCTTCTGGTGAAGAGGGTAAAAGTAAAAAAAAAAAGGGATTGTTTCGCCAGAGGCTGTTTAAAGTGACGTGGCCATGAATGAGTACGTAGTACGTACACATGTGTTATTATCCTAACCATGGCAACCTTATTTTATCGGCAATATCATCCAAGGCCAGGATTCCTGGACATCTTACCGTTTAGTTAACTCAAATTCAGCTGAGATATGAATTCTTAAGTTCGTATCAACACTACAGCGCGACACACTAGATTGAGCATCTTTGGAGCTACGACTAGCAAGTTACATTATGCAGTTTAAAGAAAACAATGGGACAAACACCGACCTGGTATGAAGCATTATCATATCACAAAATTCATTATGCTGTATAATTTGGTCTATATTTTGCCATATGCTGTGTCGCTGGGTTTATAACATCATTAAAGTCTTGGCGGTGGCAGTTTTACTAATATTTTAAGATATGCAACACGAGTCCTTGTATTAATGAAACAATGCTACGGGCTTCTTTTTACTAATTAATTAAGCAAAGAATGTTACCTTAAATAATAGAAGTCACCGTGAACTTCACTTCAGTACAGACTTTTATCTACAAAAAACAAAATTTAATTATCGATTTATCGACAGTTACACCTAATTATCAGATTTGTTAACCAAAACACATATGATACGACTACGAGACACGTGTATCCATTACTATAATAATTACATTTTCATCTAGTAATAATACCATTATATCTGTATTTGTTTTTTAATAATGTGCATAAATAGAGCCTGTTTACGCTAATTATAAATACTATTAATGCTAATCAAGATTTTACTTGAACACCCCCTTGTAATGGATATAACTAAGGTTAATTGCCAGACGTTGTGTTTTACGTCTGGCAGAGCTGTGCTGGTTGCCACGTGCCACCTATTAAATGCCAGAAGCCTGTTACAAGATCCGAGTTCGGATTCATGGACAATCTTAAGTGTTATTCTCTTTTAGCTAAGGAAAACTCGACTAAGGTAAGAGATCCGAATCATGCACAACCGTTAGTACGGTCTCATGGGGATCTTTTAAGGTAACGCTTCTTTCGATGGATTTTGAAGTCAATCGAATGCATAGATCATGGCTAACAAATGGATACCAATGACCAAAGCAAAAAATGCTGTGGATACCGTCGTCTACTGTATGTATTGATATAGACTTACTGATTAAATGTGATCAACCTTACAAATACGTCAGTGTGAGAGTACGGACATGGTCACTGTACATTATTTATGTATACTGAAGTTGTCCTGCCCACAGATACTTTTTTGAACAGCGATATATAGTCTATGAATTTGACAGGATAAAACATTCATCCAAAGGAAACCTCAGTTTCGCGAGTTACCCGAGACGTACCAAGGTCGTGTATAATTCAACTACCAGGCAGGAGCGACCACTGATACTGTGTGTCCTCTTAAAAGCTATCTTAGTTCAACAATTTTCAACCACCTTAAAACACCCACACTCAAGTCTTTAACTGGGTACTTATTGCTTGATACCAAGATTCGTATAAAACCGCACGATTAATTTTTTGGGGAAGTTTGGTAACCGTCATCACCTCGACCACAAAAACAAAACCGGATCATCTCCATGCACTATCACACTAACTTACTGAAGCTACTACTGAACTTAGTGTTACCTGCACAGAAGTGATATATATAATAGGCTCGTTAATATGGTTAATCCTCCGATTTAAACTTAAAACGTTTTTGCCATTTAGGGATAACATTTTATTTGCGATAAATTAATGGAAATTAGTCCTTATTTGGTAAAATATGCTAGGTTTCATTAAAGATTTCTTTTACAATCATAACAGCCACACTACAGTGTTCATATATAATAGTATACAGTATATATACCAGTTTGAATTTTCGAATATAAACAGAACTCGTCGTTATCGTGCAGTTATCTCTTCAGTCATCTTCACAAGCTGTAGAGACGCACAAGAGGAGGCGCCATTCATTTGTGTAATAATACTATCCAGTAC